GAATTTTTATCTCTTGAATTTATCTCTGCAAATGAAAATAAAAGGGTACATGTAAAAAACACTAATTCATGCTGTTCTAGAAAATTTCAGATAATTAGTGTATAATAAATGTTAATAACGTATCTTTTCTCTTCTATTGGTCAATATTTATATTAATCCTATTGAACTCAGTGTTTTAAAACCCGGACCGATCCGGCCGGTCGGACCGGTTGGACCGGGAACCGGTGGTCCAGCCGGTTTGAATCTGAAGTTGGATCGGTTATGCAGTCGACCCGTTTCAAACCGGATTGAACCGGTCAATTTTTCGGTTCAACCGGTGAACCGGTGGGTCAAACCGGTTCAACCACTTTTTTTTTTTTTTAATTTTTTTAAGGGACCATAAATCACAAAAATAATAATGAAAATTGAATCTCTTAATGAAAAAGCAAGGAGTCTTATTAAATATAACAATGACTACTTGTTCTAATATATTTGTTTGCAATATATACAACTTAAATAACTTTTATAGTATATTATTAATTTTAAATTATATATTTAATAATTCAATATCTATGTAAATATTACATATATTATTTTGTGATATTAATTGCAAGCATATTATATATGTACATATTATTTATATTTTTAATTTGTATTAATATACCGTTTAACATGTAATTTTTTTATGTATTTTTTTACAAAATAAAAATAAAAATAATTTTAAATAAGATAGAAAAATTTAAATTTAAAATAAGATATGAATTTATTAAAATTTATAAGTATAAATATATTTAATATGAATATTTTTTAATAAAAATAAATAAAAATCGAGTCATGCGGTTCAACCAGTGATCCACCGGTTCAACCTTTGACCCACTGACCTAATACCTTAACCGATTCGATGACCGATCCAATTTTTAAAACTATGATTGAACTTGGGTTCACGTAGTTGGCCCATCAAATAATCTTTATATCTCTATTATAATTTTTTTCTTTCATGAGTTTACATGGTGTTCAATTAGGATCGATGACTTTTCAGTGTTATACATTAGTTTCATTTTTGGTATAATTAAAAATAAAATATGAATGCGAAAAAATACGTATCAATTTTATTATAGTTATATAGATAAAAGAGGTTAAGATAATTTTTTTTTGATAAAAATATGCTTACTAAGTTTATTGAGAATATGATTCCTTATTTCATTCCTTATTTTTTTTATTCTCATATTTCTTTGTTCAGAATTAATAAAAGTGAAGGTGAAAATAGAATCAGCCTATAATTGCTTCCCATTTCTCAACTTTAAAAATAATTAAATTAAAAATTGTTTTGAATAATAGTTTTATTTTTAAATTTTCTTAGACATACTTATATTTTTTTAATTTTTAAGCAGTTACCAAATATGGCCTTCAATTCATTCTGATGTAATGCGCATATATTCATATACAAAGAAATGATCAAAAAAATATTCATACATAGAGATATGGTTTTGGAATCCTGAAAAGTCCGTTTAACCCGTAAATTAAGGGAGTTAAAATTAAAATGACTATATCTAATTTTTTAAGGATTAATTAAATATGATTTAGTGATTAAATTTTTTGTCATTTTTTATTTTTAGTTCTCAAATAAATTTTATTTTATTTTAATCTTAAAGTTACTTTAAGATTAAAATGCTAATGAAAGAAAAATTCAAAAATTACAAATTAAAATCGATAAATGTTTAAGAATTAAAATTAATAAAAAAAAATTGTTCAGAGATTAAAAGTAAAAAATCGAAAAAGTTCAAAAATTAAAAAGGTATTTTATTTATCATTAATGACTATTCATTTAAATACATGTTCATTTGACCTAATCCATTTAATCGGGAAGTGTTAAATAAGTTGGACACGTGGCATACCATCATGCGGTTGAATAATTTTTTAAATATCATCTATTATTTATATCTTTAAATATTATTTATTGTTAATATTTTTATTGCATAATTACTATTAGGTGTTTGATTAGTGATGTTGAATTTATGCGTTTTTTGATGTTTTTCAGTGATGTATGTAGATGGGGTTTTCTTTTAGATAATATTATTTTATTAATCCATGCATTTTTATATTTTTCTTTAACATATGTTAGGTATTTTTCAAGTTTTATATATAAAAAAAATTTATTTCAATATATATTTCTCAAAGCTTTATATATTTTTTCATATTAATTCTACACGTTTAGCGAACTAGAAATGGACCAAACAAAAACAAGGCTATTGAATAAGCGGATTCAATACGATCTACTTAAATACATACTAAAATGAATCGGACTAAATAGATTGGACTAATATATATATGCATATATACTTATATAAAAATAAAAATAAAAATAAATTTCATGATTGGTAATAGACAGATTTGACTTGAAATATTAATCTAGCTAAAATATCTTTAAAACGATATAAGTGCTTGAGATTCTTTCATGAATAAAAATAATGCTTTAAGTATAGGAATATGCATGTCTTTCAACACAAGATAATACAACAGCAAAACAAACAATTGGCTTGTTGTTTTTATTCTTTTACCCTTAGTAAAATATTTTAAATGTTTCCATGCATTAATTAAGTATGTTGATATAATAAAAATAGATTTAATTAATTTTTTAGTCTTTTATGTGTGTGTGCTAATTTTACATTTTAGTCCTTGTATCTAAAATTTTATATTTTAATCTTTACATGGATTTTTATTTTTTTAATCCTTATAATTAAAAAGAGGAATAGGTTATTCCCAAGAATTCAAATTTAATATATAACTTTTATTATATGATAAAAATAATATGTTAATCATATATTGTTTGGAAATTTTCAAGTATTATCTTTCGAAATTTGTAAACGAAACGCTTATGATTTTAAACTTTATTTAAGTGCATTTCATTAATGTATTATCTATAATCTTTTAGAGGAAGTCAACTTAATAATCTCCTTAAAGTATTTAAAACTTTAATTAGGAGCTTAAGAAATTTGTAATTGGATTCAAAAATCTCAAAGTACTTCCATATATTAGGAGATTATATGTTTGTTTGAATATCACTAGTAGAAAAAAGACTTTTAAAATTGGTTATTTTTAACTTTAAAATCGGTTCCGTAATCGATTTTGAAAGAGTCGATTTTAAAAGTTAGACTTTTAAAATTGGTTAAACAACCGATTTTAAAAGTTAACTTTTAAGATCGGTTGTTTTATAACCGATCTTAAAAGTCTGCCTGTGGAAAAAAATTAAACTGGAACGGGCCGTTACAAAACTAGAACGGGCCGTTCCAGTCTGTTTAAAAGGCCTCAAAAGTTAACTTTTAGTACGGGGCGTGAACGGCCCGTTCTCCAGGGAGAACGACCTGTTCTACTTGCAAAACGGCCCGTTCTCCAAGGAGAACGGCCTGTACTCCCTTGAGAACGGTCGTACTCCTTGGAGAACGGCCCGTACTCCTCGGAGAATAGCCCGTTCTGCAACGAGAACGGCCCGTTCTCCTTGTAGAACGGGCCATTCCAGGTTTGAAATTTACCCAAACTGAACCTACAACGAAAATAGAGACGAGAAAAGCATGAGAAAACGAAAAGAGACACAAGAAGAACATGAGAAGAAGAAAATGAAAACAAAAACGACAACGAAATTTACCTTCTTGAAGACGAAAATGAGAGCGTTAGAGATTAAAAAAAGGAATGGAGGGAAAGATTAAAGAGAATGAGAATGGAGGGGAATATAAAAGATTTCTGACGATACTTTTAAAATCAGTTATTTAAGAACCGATTTTGTATACTACATATAAAATCGGTTCTGAAATAACTGATTTTAAAAGTAACACTTTTAAAATCGGTTGTTAAATAACCGATTTAAAAAGTAACACTTTTATGACCGATCTTAAAAGTACTTTTAAGATCAGCTATTTTATAACCGATCTTAAAAGTGTCATTTTTAAGATCGGTTCTTTTGTAACCGATCTTAAAAGTGTCACTTTTAAGATCGGTTTTTTTGTAACTGATCTTAAAAGTACTTTTAAGATCAGTTATTTTATAACCGATCTTAAAAGTGTCACTTTTAAGATCGGTTCTTTTGTAACCAATCTTAAAAGTACTTTTAAGATCGGTTAAATTTTAACCGATCTTAAAAATGTTCATGTTATTTACAAAATTGTTACCGAGTCACTTTTAAGATCGGTTACCTTGTAACCGATCTTAAAACTTCGATTTTAAATCCAATTTTTACACTGTGTATGAATGACCACTTTTAGAATAATTTAGCGACAATTTAAGTTCAAAACATTCGAAGAATATAACTTAAAATGTCCTAACCCTATGACTATATTATATACACATGTATCAGTATTATGAGATTTTTGAGATAATCTTAAAAATTCTTAGAATAACTTGTTCTATATTTTAATAGTTAATTTGTCCACTTATAAAAGTGATTGGTATCTTGTCATCATATTGATCTAGTAGTGCCATATTTACCAATACAACTAAGTCAGAATATACTCAACTTTTCAAATACACCAAATTTAATTCAGTGCTCCTTAGTTAGAATTTTTTGGGAGGTACAATATCCTAATTTTTGAAGCGTTTTTCAAAACTATCAAAACCTATTTCCTTAATCTAAAATAGATTATTTAAATAATCAAAACTATTAAAACCTATTTTAATAGATGATTTAACATTAATTAATTTAATAGAAATAACTAGGTTAAATCATTTCAACCTGGAAAATAGAAAGAAATCTTCACACCATTTATCACAAGAATTATACTTCACATCCGAGACATGTAACAGTTTAGTTTACTTACATATTAAGAGTAGCAATAATTGTACACCTATCATTTCATACACCTTATTAACACTTTTTTTTTTTCTGTCATACCTATATTTTTCTCTTCCCTCTTTCTTTTATGCATCTAATAGGTAATTTGTGCATCACAAAAATATTTTTTTATTTAAAGGTATTAACATTTATTGGATAATGACTAAGTTAAATCATTTCAAGGTAGAAAGAAATTATCTTCACATGAATTGCCAAGAGCACTCGACTTGATATCATTGAGAACATATATACGTACATGTTATTTAGACATGGATATGTCGTCGGATACATGACAAAGTGCGAAATTAAGAAAGGTAACACATTGTGAAAGTTCCTTCTCCATCTCGTCCACTTAATTCCACCTATCTCATCTTTATCACTAGCTATTATCTCCCATATATCAACCTCAAAAAGGAGGTCTAGTAGCTAGCAATCCCAAGCAAAGCAGACAAAGACAACTTGGTACTTTGACTACCTCAATCGGTAGCTTTAGTACAAGTAGTGTTATTGATTGTGGCTGCATGTCTCGTCTGAAGGTTCACCAAGGAGTAATAAGCTCCACACGGTCCTTTGGCCAACAAGGACGAGTGGGTTCCAATCTCCACCACCTTCCCCTTTTCCAACACACCAATAACATCACAATTCTGTATGGTGCTCAACCTATGCGCCACCACCACGCTGGTCCTCCCTATCATTACCCTCATCAAAGTCTCTTGCACCACCTTCTCAGATTTACCATCTAATGCGCTTGTGGCCTCGTCCAACAGCAACACCTTCGGCTTCTTCAAAATGGCTCTCGCTATTGCTATTCTCTGCTTTTGACCACCCGAAAGTTGCACCCCTTTTTCCCCACACCACGTTTCGTACCCCTCCTTCAGGCTAGCTATGAAATCGTGAGCGTTCGCTGCTCGTGCTGCCTCCATGATCTCACTCTCATCAACCTTCTCGCATGTTGCTCCATATGCAATGTTCTCTCTTATGGTCCCACCAAACAACGTTGGCTCTTGGCTCACTAGTGCTATGTGCTTCCTTAGTGACTTTAGGTTATACGATTTTATGTCCATCCCATCTATTGTCACAATCCCCTTAAGTGGATCGTAAAATCTCTCTATTAGCCCTATGATGGTTGATTTCCCGGACCCACTTTGCCCCACCAACGCTGTTGATTTCCCCGCTTCAATTTTAATCGAGAACCCTTGGAAGATACCCACATCGGGTCTAGTTGGGTACGCAAAATGCACATCATGAAGCTCAATTTCACCAACTAGCTTCTCTGCCTTGTTTCCATTTGGATCATCGGGCTCAATTTTCGTGCACCGATCAATGATCCCGAAAACCGAGCCCACGACGTCAGCACCTCTAGATAGATCCGTGGTCATGCTACCCGCGTCCGCAATGATCCTTCCCGTGCTCACCAAAACCATGAAGCTCTCAAAGAAAGTTTTCGTTGTGATATACCCAGAGGAGATAAGCCTCCCACCGTACCAAAAATCCAGGGCCCAGATACACGAAGCAATGCCCTGGGAGACTCCAAGCCCAAGCCCGGCAAACCATGACTGTCTAACATTCTCCCGACTTGGGCCTTGTTGGGCCTGGTCAAGCATTTTGAGAATCCGGTCTTGCGAAGAAAAGGCTGTGACGGTTCGGAGATTTGAAACCGCCTCGGAGGCTAGCTTGCTGCTTTGTTGTTGGGCCTTGACGGCCTTGTCGGACATGCTTTTGAGAAGGACGCGTCTTGTGTAGAAGCATGCGATGATGACGGGTTGTACGGCGATCATGACAATGGAGAGTCTCCAAGAAATGATGAGGCCCATGGTGTAGGCTGTTAAAACCGCTGAAAATGTTTGTACTAGCAGGGCCATTCTATCTCCCACTAGGGACCTCACCTGAACACAACCAAACATGAAACATCAACGCACAGTTGTTTGTCACCAAGCCAATCGAAATCACACTCAAAGCATGTTAACGTACAAAAAGCTAAAGAACACCGACATGCTGAAAACAAGCGTGCGTTGGGTGTTAAAGCCGGTTTAGGCGGCAACTAACGACGACGAAATTATCGAAAGTACACAGTATGAGTACGTGTACGCTACTTTCTTAGCCCTGACAAAACTGTACAATGTCACGCTCAAAGACTCAATTCATTTGTTAATCATCAAGTTTTGATTTTTTCTTTAAATACCAAGTTACTACGTGATAAAGTACCATTTTGTTGACTTATTCTGAAAATCTGAATGTTTTTCCGTTACTGGACTCAAACATAAAATCTTACGTAAGAGATTTGAGACCAATTCTACTAAAACTTTATATTTTTAATGTGGTTAGTTTAAAAGATTATATTATTATGCAATCATTAAATTATATACGTTATTAGACATTTTGAAACATGTTAACCAGCTCAACTGTTAATGACAACAAATAACTAAATTCTAAGATAATCCCACTTGGACAATGTCAAAACTAAATTATTTTGAGATACAGTGAGATCATTGTGACGACTATGCTACTATAAGGTAGCCATCATCGTCACTAGAAAGGGTACAGAATTAAAGTTTATATAGAAAATAATTATAATTTCACCCTCTTTATATTTTATAAAGCCTGTTTATTAATCAAAAAACAGATATTTTAAGAAAAGCTACAACCAAATGAAAAATATTTATTATATCATGCCCTTCTCTTTCAACCTATTTATATAAACAAAAATAATTTCTCTCTGTTTGTTTTTTTTCTTTATCACATCTCAGCAGACCTTCCTTTTTATTCTTAATTATAGTATCTTTCTTCTCTACAGCCGATTCATACCCCCCACAAATTAATGAGAGAATCTCAGTATCATATTCTAATTTTTATGCATTCAATGTATGAGGGCAAAGTTTAACTAATTAAACTGTAGAGAAATGTTGCACAATAAATAAAAAACATACCTCGAGTTCATATTTTCTTAAAATAAGAAGAAAAAAAATCAAGGGAACGGAAAGCGAGGTGGAGCCGCTTCCTCTCTTTTTCTCAAAAAGCAAAAGCGTACGGGAAGGATGTAACCACAGCTGAAGATATACGAACAGCGGTTCGCTAACTTTAATCCACAAGATTTACCTTTTCTGAACCACACAGAAAATTCTCACCGACAACCATAGCCGTTGCATGTAGATAGATACATGCATCATAGGCTTCTAGCTACGAATTTAACGTACTAAACAATAAAACCTTAAATAGTAACAATAGCATCACTTCACACACCTTTTTTCTTAAAATATAATATTTAAAGACCCTTTAATGTTAAACATCTCCTCAACATAATGATCAACAACTCTATATTTAAATCCAGTTACTTTTTTAATCCTAATTTTCCACACTTTGTATGCCTTTATTTTACTTTTCCTATTTATTATTTTCCGTCTTTTCTCATCACGTCAAATGATTGATACGATTATTGAGAAATAAAAAAAAGAAAATACTCAAAGCATGCAGAAGAAATAGAGAAAACGGGAACCTACCACATTGGCATCTTTGGCAAGCCTAGAACAGACGGCACCACTGGAGTTCTCGTCCAAATCGAACCACCCAACTTCGAAAGTGAGGATTTTGGAAAGCACGTTCTCTCTGACGCGTTTGGTCAAGTACTCCCCCATGTAACCGAAGCAATAATGCTGCCCAATATTCGAAAGAAAAGAAACCGCAAAGAGACCCAGAAAACAAAACGAGTAGAACCTAGTCTTCCTCACTATCTCCTCATGATCCGTGTTAAAGTACATGAGTATCGTGGAACCCATCGTGAACGCGTAAACCGGCTGAACGGCACCGAACACCATGGCGTTTAAGCACCCCAAAACGACATGCTTCCACTCGGGGGCGCTCAGCGCCAGAAGCCTCCGAAACGACGGCGCGCGCGCCTTATTTTTCCCTCCGGCCACGTCATCGTGATCGCCGGGCCTCGTTGGGCCCACCGGGCCCGCGGTTTCGGTGGCTGGTGGTGTCATGGTGAAGGGGACAACACTCCCGGGAGTAACGGGTTGTTGTTGTTGTTGTTCCTCTTCGGCCTTGTCGGTTTTCTGCTGGAGGCGAAACGCGGAGGCGTAGGCGCCGGCGGGGCTTTGCATGAGGTCGTTGTGCGAGCCCATCTCGACGACCTTGCCGCGTTGGACGACGGCGATGAGGTCTGCGTTTTGGACGGTGGAGAGACGGTGGGCGATGATGATGGCGGTGCAGCCCGAGGCTACGTTGTCGAGGGCTTCTTGGACGATTCGCTCCGACTCTGAGTCCAGCGCGCTTGTTGCTTCGTCCAGAAGGAGGATTCGCGGTTTCTTAATTATTGCCCTCGCTATTGCTATCCTCTGTTTTTGTCCCCCTGACATCTGAATCCCTCTCTCCCCCACCTGCATCAAAACCATTTATGAACTTCCATCATGCGCATTAACTCTTTCTCAAAGAGTAATTATTCATGTTGTTACCTTGGTAGCCCGGCGTCGTGTAAATAATTATGTGAATGCATAGATCGG